CCCCCCACCGTCCCTCCCCTATTTCCCCCCAACCGACCCCAGTGTGTAGTGCTCCCCTCCCTTTGTCCATGTGCTCTCATCGTTCAACACTGCCAAATAATTAAAGGTTTGGACAACTACATACAACCCTAACAAACTGCTGGGAAGAGTACTGTAGTTTTCCCATTAAGTTAGTTAAGATTTCTTTTAAAAAAGATAACGTAGCAAAGAAATTACATTTTAAATTAGCATATATAAACCCACCATCTTAATATATGTAAACAATAACAAGTTAGTGTATTCAGGAAGAAAAGACTCATATATAAGAATAACATATAATACCATAACCAGAATTAAGCAGAGTAAGAAATGTGCAAAGTCTGTACTTTAAAAACCTTAAAACACTCCTGAAAGAGCACATATCAAAATTGAAGACTTGAAAAGATGGAGTATATTCTTGATTAGAAGACTCAACTCTGTAACTGAGGTTGGGATTACAATAAGGAGTAGGTCTGAGAAGTGGAAAAATCGGGATTCCATTTTGGTTGTGTTGAGTTTGACGTTTCAGGGAAGAGGCCCCTAGGCATTGGATAAGTGAGTGTGGAGCACTGTGGAGAGGTCAGCACAAAAGTTATGAATTGGAGCATTCTCAACATCTGTCACTTAGCAATAGTGTGTAAATGCAGGGAGGAAAGGAACCTAGAATAGAAACCTGAACCTTCCAACATTTTACGGATTAATTGGAGAGTGAAAAGCCACCACAGAAGACTGAGACCAAACCAAATGGCCAGTGAAAAAAAGGAAAAGAATGAGTGTGATATTCTGGAAGCCAAAGACAGTCAATTTGTTCAAAGAGGGAATATTCCTCCTGTATTCCCAGTGCCTGGCCCATGGTAAGAATTCAATAAATATTTGTTAGATGAATTAAAGTATGAAAGGAGAAATGGAATTTTCCTAAAAAGATATCTTTTATAAAAGTATACTCACAAAGTAGAAGAAAAACATTTTAGACTAATTTCATATGTGTGTATTATACATATATGTAAACTAAAAAAAATCCTAAATTTTAACTAAAAGTTCAAATCCATCTGTATTCTAAAACAGTAACAGAATATGACTGAATGTCTAATGGTACCAAATTCTCTGGTAAAATATTCAGCCAAAGGTGCCCTGAAATGCTGTAACAGAAATGAAAGTTATTAAGTGCTCATTGATAAAATATTGAACACTAAGTTTGCAAATAATATAGACTCACTGGTCTTAAGTATGGTCCTAAAGATCATTGAGTCTTCAAGTCCTATCTCTAAATGGGCTATCGGAACCTGCTCCCATACCCAGAATTAGTCTCTTCTTCCATCTTGCCACGAAACCCTCTTTCAGCAAATTACTGACTTCTAGAACATCAAACAATCCCTAGAGATCCTCAAATGACCACTTGGCTACCAGATAGCACACAGGACAGAAACTAGGCATGGGTTTCTTTCTTATTTTTAAGCATCTTCAGGGAGTTGTTGATAGAGTTAAAACTAGACTTAGCATTGTAACTACTTGGTCTCCCTTTGTGAGCAGTTTCAAAAGGTATAATTAATTTCATATATGCAGCCAGTAAAGTAATTTTCATAATATCAGCTACATTGTTAACCACATCAAATTGGGATCAGAATGGCCACCAGATTGATTCATTTTCCATGTGTACAATCTGCTATACATTCAGAACAATCATTAATGCTTTTTAACTCTTCTTGAAACCAGTACAGAGCCTTGTATTTTGATTTTGTCTAAGGTGAATTATTTCATTCAAACAAACAAACCAACAAATCAGAAACTAATTTTTCAGCCTGTCATAAAAATGACTAAAGATACATGTATGTTCCTTCCTGGACACATTTGACTTTATCTCTTTAAAATACCTTTTAATGAATTTAAAAACTTCCTGAAAGTATTCAGTAAGCAAATAAAATCAGTTTTCCATATACATTATAGCTAAAATGAGATCACGCATGTAAATCATAAACAATGATTGTTTCTTACTAGCTTATGATATCTGTGAATATTTTTCTGCTTTCTCAGATTTTTAGTGAAGTACACCTTTGGTCTTGACCTTTCAGAAAAAATATTCTTTTAAATCTACTTCACCCTCTGATCCTTAATAGTCTTTGCCAATCAGTAGTTTCCTCATTAGCCACAACTGTGTCAATCTACTTTTTAGGACTGTGATTATTTGTCTGGTTCTATAGTTTTAAAAAAACAGGCAAGCCACGGAGGCGAGGCTAAAATGTAAACTTGGTAAGACTGTAGCTTCCTTTCCTATTAATTATCTTCCCTTCTCTCCTGGTGATAATATGATGCTGGCAATAGTTGCTTTATCTTTACTTAATTGTTTTAGTACCATTTAACCTGCTACATTGAGTATTTTAAAAGGTCATGTAGCAAATGAGCTGGGAGTGTATACAGGCCTTTGTGGAAAGAATCTGAGCTGCATCTTTTGATGGCATAGCTTTACAAAGTTAGCTTAAAACTAGAAAAAAGTAAAACCTTGCATCTTCATGTACTGCTAATTCTAAACCATTTTAAGGTGATAATCACCAGAGGCAGGAGCCAAAGCCATGCAAAATTCCTCTCTATTGATGGAAGGGTGTGTTACATACGTTAGCATATCACTGACTTTTTCTGCAGTCACTGTAATCCCAGTTTTTCACAGCTATTATTTTTTGTTTTCTCAGAATCTTCCTTGAACAATATGCATCTTCTTTGAGATAGAGTCTCTCTGTCGCCCAGGCTGGAGTGCAGTGGCGCGATCTCGGCTCACTGCAACCTCTGCCTCCCAGGTTCAAGCCATTGTCTTGCCCCAGCCTCCCAGCATCTTATTTTCTTTCAGTGATGTGAATTGTTGGCCATGTGTGAATGTTTTTACATGATATTTTTAAAAAGTCATTAAATGCTTTGCATATGTAGGAACTTGTACTAGGCAATGCAGAGTGTGAACTCATAGAAATTGTTCCCTTACTTTGGAAATTAATTTTCTGCTGCAGAATAGACATAATGTCCAACACGGTGAACAACTTTATGACCTAAACAGAGCCTTTCTCTCTCTCTCTCTCTCTGGCTCTCTCTCTCACATACACATCATGTAGGCATGATCAAAAATCAGGATTACAAATAAAGTACAGATTTCAAACTGCATTTAAGATGTAGTTAAGGCAAAGTTATGTTAATGAGATGTATGTGTCTGATAAAGGGAAAATTCATTAATTCATAAACACTTGCCATAAATTATATGTACAATTATTTTATGGACATGTATACAGCTGATCCAGTCTAAATGATCACCAATGGCCTGAATTAAATAATATATAACGTGGAATTAAGGATATGAAAAGCTGTACAAATATGCTAACTTTTTGTTAAATATGTTTTGACTACAATAAAATTCATATAAATTTTAAAAGCACAGTTCAAACTGAATTATAATTTTTTAGGAGGTTTGCTTGCATGGCATATTAAAACATCCCTGAGGAAACATATTTCTTAAAACCACAAAGAAAAAAGTTCTTGCAATGGAAAAATGATTGATTTACCTGGATCTTCTATAGTTAAGTTCTTTATCAACCATTGAACAATGTCTGAACCTAGAAAGAGAAAAAAAAAAACACAAATAGATGTGAACATTTTGTTTATACATGTTAACTTTAACAATTCTCCACCTTTGGTGTTCATATTAGAAGGAACTTTTCTAATTGTTACAATGACAAGTTAAAGATCTACCCTAGATGGAGTGCTGAAAACACAGAATGTGTATACTTAGCTGTCTTTCAATAAACCAATGTGTAAACTAGTAAATTAATAAATATAAAATATTTAAATATAAATAAAATTTACTGTACTAGTAGAAAGCGATTTGTTTACTAAATATTTATTAAGCATCTACTATATTTCAGGTACAAATCTTAGTACAGCACAACCGGTACTTTATAGGATGGTTCCTATCTCATTTCTGGTTGTACCCACCTCATTCTTGTATTGCCTTTCAAGCCAAACCAAATTTGTTTTTGGTTTTTGAGCCCTCCAATGTATTTCAAGCCTCTATGTCTCCATAACAGTATTCTCCCTGACTGAAATGTCTTCCCCCAATTTTTTTTTTTTTTTTTTTAGACAGAGTCTCACACTGTTGCCCAGGCTGGAGTGCAGTGGCGCAATCTCAGCTCACTGCAACCTCTGCCTCCAGAGTTCAAGTGATTCTCCTGCCTCAGCCTCCAGAATAGCTGGGATTACAGGCACCTGCCACCGTGCCCGGCTCATTTTTTTGTATTTTTAGTAGAGACGGGGGTTCGCTATGTTGGCCAGGCTGGTCCCAAATGCCTGACCTTGAGATCCACCCACCTCAGCCTCCCAAAGTGTTGCGATTACAGGCGTGGGCCACTGCGCCTGGCCTGTCTTCTCACTATTTTTAAGACACTCAAGATTCACTGACATGACAGAACTTTCCTTGCCCCTTCCCCTTGTCCACTGAGTGTCCAACACTGTCCATGAGGCCTTGCTGGAATCCACATAGTCTTTTACCGTAGTGTTAATCGCACCATGCCCCAGCTGTTTATCTGATGAATGCCCCAAAGTAAGTACCTTGAAGCAGGGTGTCATATTCATCTTTGATTATTTGGAGCGTAGTAAGTGCTTAACAATGTGTGACCAATACAAAATATGAGTGACTATGTTTTACTTCAAACAGAAGAGATGAGACAGTCTGCAGAAAACATAATGTTTGAGCTAGATTCTGAAGAGTATACTTTTGTCTGTGAATAAGGGAGTAATTTAGTGGCTGAAGGGGTCTATGTAAAAATTTTAAAAAGGTGGAAAAACAATAATAGAAATCATTTACTACACACTGTCTATATGTAAGTGCTGGGAATAATACAAACTTGAAAGTAATAAAAGAGTGCACAGTGTATTCAGCAGGTCTTGAATTCTAGGCTAAAGAATTAACATTTTTTTTCCATAAGGAAAGCGGGGAAAGAGACATGCAATATTTTTGAGCGGAAGAATGACATTACCAAAGTAAGTTTAAGGAACATGACTGGTAATATATGTGAAATGCTTTCAGTAGTCAAAAAGAAGGCAAAGCAGTCAACATGTCTACTAAGGTGCAATCCAAGACTGAAAGGAAAAGGTCTTAGTTCAGTGTACAAATGAACTTCTTAAAAATTACAGACTTGTTAGACTTTACGAGTAAGTAGGTTTAAGGGTTACAAGTGGAGAGATTAAAAAATAAGTCAAAGTTTCTAGCCTAGAAGAATGGATGAATAGAATGGTGAAAATAAGAACAGAAATAGGCGATTTAGCGACTGCCTTGCTGGAGACATTCACTTGTATTTAAAATTGGTTTTCTGCTTAATTCTTTTCTACGTAAAATTGGAAAAATATATATGTGAATTATTTGCATACATAGTAAACTGTTTCATAGCTGCCTGAATTGAATGAAACTTCAGTGTGAACCAATATTCTATTTCAACCTCTCCTGGAACCTGATTAGAGTTGCCGTCTACCCACCTCAGAGATTTTGCAAATTAATCACATTAATATTGGCAAAATAATTCTAGCTGCTTGAATTAAATCAGTTCAAAATCAATTTAAGAATAAATCTGATTACTAAACTTGAAAATAAAGTCCCAAAAGTTATGAGAACATTCATACTCAATGTCACTTTCAATATGCATGCATTTAAAAAATAACTCCAAGTATTGACTTGAACTTGTGTTCTTTTATAGCTGTTCCTTTTACAGCTGCCATTGATTTAAACGCATTTGGGAAGGTAGATTCATCCAGATCCTAAGGGAAGTTATACTAAAACAGCTCTGAAGGTCTAAAGGAAAGGAGATCATTCTCCAGAAGTCAGTTGACAGTGTCCCGGTATTGTGTTCATCTTTATAGGCTAAGTTATCTTGAAGCATAATCTTCCCTTTGAAAAAGAAAAGGAGAGCTCAGCTTTTCACATATATATGTAGTGATCCTTGACCAATGTTGAATCCTAGATACACAAATCTTCCACACAATCCCAGGCATCCTGCTCATTTTTCAGAGCTGAGCATCTATTTGAGGAACATATGTGAGCAGCCACTGGAAATTTTCCATTCTTTTGAAGACAGCCAAACACTCATTCCAGGACTATATATGTTTTTTTTATTGTGAAAAATGACTTTAAAAATGCTCTTAGAAACTGTTTTTTAAAAAATATTCTGTTCTGTTTTGCTTTCTTTCCTTTTTTCTTTTTTCTGAGCAGAAAGGAATACAAAGAAACCTAATTTAAAAGTATGTTTAATTCAGAGAAAAGAAAACTTTCTTTCGTAGCCTACTTGAGTATTTCTGTCACAAGTGTATTCTCTGTTCAGCTCTGAAGGAGTCAATTTAATTGGACTTGAGCAACTGTTAGTGTCACCTAGCAGATGCTGTGGTAGTTTTTATTGTGTGATCACCCCAACATATTTATGGTTTTAGTCTGAAACATTATGGATTTTAAAATTGTTAAATTCATACCCAAACTCACCATGTTAACCTATGCTGCATCTATAAGAGTAAGACCTCAACTCCTTGAAGAGATAGGTAGAGAGAGAAAGAGGGAAAAAATCCAGTATCTTGTTGATTTAGTGAAACATGCTCTTACAGAGTCATCTTGAGAAGCATGGCTCAAATTTAACGTGGGACATTACAGCCAGAAGTATAGTAGGAATGCCACCTTTACAGCAATTTCCCAGCTTTATATTAAATAAATAAATAAATGGCTGGGTCCACTAATTTTTTTTTACTCATAAAGTATATGTAGAATATGATAGTGTTCTTTTTTTTTAAATTTTTTTTTAACTTATCACTGTATTTATTTTTTTATAAAATGCATTTGCAAAAATGTTTCGTCAGACACGGGTGCTACAAAAATAAATATAAAACAAATATACATGTTTACATATGTTACTTATAAATACACATGATTTACATGTTCAAAAATTCCCAAATTTCAGCAGGTTTTGTCCATGATTCTCAACATGTCTGAGACATAGGGAAAACAATAAAAGCAGAAATATACCACATATCATTTATATTTTTGCTTTTAAAAGATTGTTGGATACAAATACATGAACATAATAAGTTTGGGGGTTATGATCTAAGAGCAAAGTCAGGTATACTATTTTATATCCACTCTATTTAGTAAGTGACTCAAGTTTCATTCTGCTTTGTTCTCTCAGAATACATCCTTTACAGTATAGGTTAAAATTCTTTCATAGAAAGGCTTTCTGAAGAAGTTAAATTAAAAAAAAAATCATTTTACTTGAAAGCCAACAAAAAAGTTATTTATTAAACTTATATGTCTGAAAGGAGTTTTGATCAATGAAAATTAGGAGTTGAATTAGAAAACATCAAAAGGATGGAAGACAAACACTGTAATTTCTGTTTGATGTATTTTGGTAATTTTTCATTTTCTCCATACCTAGTTGTTTGACCATTTGGTGAGGTGTAACTGATAGAAGACACTCCTGCCTGCACAACCAACTGGGACCCATCATTAAACTGAACCCACACAGCTCCGCTAGTTAACTGTGTAGTCCAACCAACATTTTTCGCAAAAACAGATTTCAAAAGTTGTGCTGATTTAGGTAGACAATCTTTTAGACTGTTAGAAGAGATGTCTGTTCCAGAAGCTGTAGCTGTAAGAGCAAGTCCTTCATTTGTAATCATAGAGGGATTAAGCATTGGTGCCTGCGATGGAGAAGCAGCACTATTCATGGCCATTCTATTGAAAGATGCTCCATCTCTCGATGGGTAATTTGAATCCACAGAAGGAGGAGGTGATAAGGCCTTAGGTGAACTAGTACTACTAGGTTTTCT